TTCATATAGTGTCCATATTAACTGGTGAGGAATAATATTTCATTGTCATACTTTCTAAATTTTATAGCAATTAAATGTCATGTGTTATGTCAAAAATAGTTATCTAAAGGTTTTTCTCCTTTAATCCCCATACTCAGATTCAAGATCTTATTGTTCTACCTCTTTTAAAAGTGAATCGTTATTTCAATTGCTCTGCTACTGCATTAATTCTATCCTCATCTACCCTATCTCCCACCTAATATGACAAAAACCCTTAGATTTTATCTTCCTCCACCCAATTTTTATCCACCCAACTTAGTCTATTAAATACACCAGAGTTATCATTCGAAACAAATCACATTACGTCAATGCTTAAAAATTGTAACTATCTCTCATACCTACAGGATGAAAGACAAACAAGTTTTTCATAACTTTCCAGCTGTTTCACACCATTCTAATCAAAATATTTTATTCTATACCTCATAATGTTCTAATATTTAATTATAAAACCTACAAAAGTTCTCGTATGCCTCTACAACTGGACATGTTCTTACCAAATGGTAATTATCGCTCAAGACTCAACATAGAGACCTTATTCTCTTTGAAGCATCCCCAGTCTTTTCAAAAGATCTTCCTTCTTCGTTCACTCATAAAGCGCCATCACAATGTAATCTAATTGTCACTTTATACTGATCACATTATAATTATTTGTTTCTGAAACTTTCTCCCCGCCCTCTGAAAGCCAGCTCTTTTTGTACAAGTCTTCTTGGCTTCTACTGCAGTGCTAGATATAGACTAGCTGCTCAATGAATGTTTGATGAATGAATGAGTGTATGTGTGTATACATACATGTATTTATTTACATATATACACATATATAATGCATCGAAAATGAAAGTAAGTTTGATTATATTTTATTTAAAGTATATTCATAATTTAATACATCTGTGAATTTCCAAGTAAATGTTACACATTCTGAAATAGTTATTAAAGAATTCACACTATGGGCAGATGGTGAAGAAGAACTGAGAATCATGAAGGATACATATGTGCTCACACATTCTCCTTCATTCTCTCTGCCTCACTTACGCCTTTCTGGCCCCACCAGGCCTGTCACTTTTCATCTTTCTACTCTGCCAACTCCCATGATCAGAGACGGTGAATTGAAAAGGGTGCCATTGGAGAAGGTAACGGGCATAGAAGGGCCATGTAGTCTCAGAGACCTGAAAAGTGTGCTATTCTATAGAATTGAAAATGCATTGTGTAAAAAGCATTTTTATTAACCAATGAGCAGCTAATGTCCATTCATCATATCAGACATATAGTGAGATAAATATTAAATTTTATAGGAAAAAATAACTTCCTATCACCGACATAATCTGTGCCTGTAATGACCCAGAAGTACATCTTCGTCCTCTATGTAGTACTTTTAGAGTGTTAGTGTTTGTTTTTATTGTTTGTTTCTCTTTACCTGTGATATATTATTACTTTCAAAATAGTTGCTAATGATCAAAATGTAAACAAAGCCATATGTCTTGTTGATGTTTCAGTATTGCTCTCAATAATCTGACTTGAAAAGAAGCATTATATTTCCAAATTATTAAAATCATTATTATATTATAATAAATAATAAAAAATTTCAAGTAACAATATTAATGTTATAGGGAATAAGGTTTGCAACTGCATAAAATACACCATTAAAAAAAGAATACAAGTAATAAATGGGTTTTAAATCTATGATACATATTCTTAAAAAATACAAAATACAAAGGTTATTTGGGTAGATGAAACCCAGCAAATATAATCATGTTATTAGATGCCTATAAAAATACTTCATTACCAATTCATTTGTTATTAGTGCACTAGATCCTTAGTGGAAAATCCCTCACATTTAATAGATCATAAAGAACAGTAAAAGTTAGAATATGTTAAAAAAAAGTTAGAATATGTTTATGAATATTTGAGTCAATACCTTGGAAAATATTTTTAACAATAAAACACAAATATTATTCTTTGTATTGCCATCAAATTTTTGATTCATTTTTAATGATGTCTAACAAAAATGAATGATCACCTTCTAATTTTTCTCTATTTTTGAATAAAAACAGTAACAAAAGAAAGAGCAAAAATAATCGTGGCACCCTGGTCTCCCAAATCTGATGTTTCATTGGAGAGGCTAATACATACTTGTAGGCCACCTGTGGATAGGCCCATAGATCAAGGTGGCATAACTACTAAATAGTTCCACAAATGAGGCTATTGAAACAAATAATAAAAGCAATAAAACTAGATTTATTTCTGAGCAGAGAGAATTGAAAGAGAGAATGAAAAGCAGGAAAGAGATGTTGTGAAACTGAATTTCAGATAAACCTATTACAAATGAGGGGACTTGTTGGCATGTGATCTTTCCTGATACCCTGTGTCCATAACTTCTATTACTGTGAATGCTCCAGTTCTTTAAAATAGTCACACAATTTTTTTCAAGATTAATACATAAAAGAATAAAATATTGCTTCTGGGCTAGGACCCTGTATGCTAAGTTTCCGCCTGGAGCACATTTTTATAGCTGAGTTGTAAACCTTTGAAAATAGGTGTTTAGAATAGAAATGTTAAGAGACCCCTAACTGTAGTGCTATGAATAGTACTGGCATCATTCATCTAGAAAAGGGATATAGTCAGCGACAGCATTAAAGTTTACACTCCAGATAAAGGACCTTGGAAGTGGTCAGGCTATGTTATACCAGAGATTTAATTTGCAATTTAGGAAAAAAAAATTTTTAGTGATGAGAAGGTAGAGGAAAGAGGAAGTGGGTGATGAAAAATAAGGCAAAAAAGAGTAGACAAGTCATTTGGATGTCTTTTTGTAAAGTGCCATGTAAATTTCTTATAATTAACCAAGTCTACTAAATCTGAAGCAATGAATTATTTAAATCTATTGGAATGGCTTTAATTTTTCTAAATCAATGCATTTTAAAAATCAAGTTTGCTGTCCTTATTAAATAAAGTTTGATCAAGGGCACACTGTGTTCCTCTATCTATAAAAGAAAGAAAATGAGAGAGGATAGGATCATAGTTCACCGGTAGAGCACTTACCTTTTATGTGTGAGTCCATATGTTTTATTTCTGGCACCACATGGTGCCCCAAGGACCATGGAAGTCACCGCCAAATATTATGCATGGATTAGCCCAAAGTCCAAAGTATGACCCAAAACTCTAAACAAACAAACAAGATTTTACCTTCATATTGATGAAATGAAACAATGGAGCATTTAAAATCATCTAGATACTTATCTTTTTTCCTTTCTTTTTTTTGGTGAGGAAGTTGGTGGGCAAACCCTGCTGTGCTCAGGGCTTTCTCATGGGTTTGCACTCAGGGGTCAATTCTGTCAGGCTCAGGAAACCAAAACTGGGGCTGTAAGGATCGATCCCAGTTGGACACATTCAAGGCAAGTACTTTACCCTCTGTACTGTCTCTCCAGCCCCTCTCTGTTTCCTATTTGAAGTGAATTTTCATTGTCTTTTACCACTTGGGATATATTTGCAATGCACTCCCTTGCTTGCAGAAGTCTTTCTTCTGATATTTATCTCCACAATCTACATTTCAGGAAAGGCACATACCTTCACTGACATAATTATTTCAAGGTGGATAATAAAGTATTTCACAGTAAAATAAATCTATGAACAACTTCAGAGGATGAGACTCACTAAACAGCAGGAAAGTAGTAAACGGCGTAACCAAAATTATCAAATCAGTACTCAAATATTCAAATGAACATATTATTGTTTGGATGGCCATTTCTTGACCTAAGGGAAAAATAAAGAGAAATAGAAGAAGCATTCATTTGTCTCTGTTGAGAATACCTCAGATAAAAAGATTATAGATAAAGGAATCTACTTTCTGCTCAAGAACCACACCCTAAGAGAAAGCTCTTAGCTTCTAGTAGTTATTGACATGAGTCCAAGTAAATAGTCCTGCTAGGTTACTGAATATAATCTGGCATCTTTATCCTCAAAATAAAAAAACATTAATGTTCAAATTCTTGTTTTTAAAAAGTTGAAATTCCTGAGGACTGAAAGGCAATACAGGAAATAAGGCAATATTCTTGCAAATAGCTGACTCAGGTTTAATGTCCCCGTACCACATATGGTCATAGAGCAACATCAGAGTGATCCCTAAACACAGAGCCAGGAGTAAGCCCTGAGCAGTCAGGTATGGCTCTCAACTTTAAAGTTTAAAAAAAATTGAAATTCCAAATCATGCCATTTCTGACTTTCACACTATGATGTTACAGTATGCTCCTAAATTAAACTGCAACATATATGTATGTGTGTGTATATATTAATAAGTCAACTATATTGTATGCTAATATTTTAAGTATACACTCAATAATGATTGGCAACTTTGTAAGACCTCTTGCTTAAAACTCTATCAACACATTCATGCAAACATTAAACAAATGCAAGTGTCATATATAGACATATAGATAGATAGATAGATACAATACAAAAGTATCTCCAAAACCAAGTTTTCTAACTACTTGAAAAAATAAAGATTAAAAGTGTATTTAAAGAGAAACTTTAAAAGCTACAAGCTTTTGTTTTTAACTTCTTCTCCATTTAGGTCATATTAAATGGAGTTAAAAGAATTTAAAGTAATTAAACTCACACTTTCAATTTTATTATGCTGTTGAGTTAATATGCATTCCAAATAAAGACTTGACTACAACTCAGACATTTAAACTTCCTGAAAGAATGTATAACATTTGTGTTCAATGTTCTTTTCTCAGTGTTAGTGCGTGATCCAATACTGTCTTCATTAGCAGATATAGACACTGAACTGAGACTGGCTAGGTTAAAAAAAAATATCTCCCAGCTGTTCACCTCTAAAATACACTTGTCACTTTCAAAATCCCATATTTATCCTCCCCAGGTGTCTCAAATAGTTAAAAACAAACATTTTTTTTAAAACATCTCATTTCCTTGGTAATTTAATGCTGTGGGTTTTAAGGATGCAGAAGTATGTGCTTGCTCTGGCAGCATATATATAAAAACTGGAACAATACAGGGATTAGCAAGACCTTTGCACAAGAATGACGCACAAATTCAAGAAGCACTCCATATTTTTAAAAAAGAATGCAGAAGTATGGCTAAGTGTCTTGTTGGGTCACATATCTATCCTCTGGATTTATTTGTGGCTCTTAATATTTAATAATATTGCAGCAAGAATTCATTTTTAATCAGGAAGTGTGTCACTTGCCCTTGAGCACAGTTTATGGTGCCAGGCACATGCCATAGGTCATGTAAGACGGCCACCTTGTGACTGACTGTTATACACAAGGGCTCCGGGGTCAAACCTGTCTGTTCTTTGAAGAGGTTTGGAGGTTTCACCCTGAAAGCAACACTAGTCCTCAGTCTAGAAACTCAGTCCCCTAGGGGACCCTGGGCAGGCATTTTCAAATAGCACTGAGTGAGAGAGAAGGCACAGCAAGTGTCAACTTACATAAGCCCATAAGAAAAGAGATGAGAAAATAGTGTCCTTTTTGCAAGGACAGAAATATAACTTTCTTAGAGAAAAAATGTGCAAAAATGAGGGCACACTCAAACATGTAAACTGGTAAGAGCTAAATAAATCCAATCTTGGTCTCATTACAGATAGATGGAAAGTTTCAATTAAATAATCTACCCAAAGAAGAAATATAGGCAATCAGTCCCATTAGAGAAGGTACAGTGAATAAAGGACTGGAGTGATAGTACAGCAGTAGGGCGGTTGCCTTGCATGAAGCTGGCCCGGCTAACCCGGGTTCGATTCGATTCTTTGACCCCTCTCAGGGAGCCCGGCAAGCTCCCAAGAGTATCTCGCTTGCACGGCAAAGCCTGGCAAGCTCCCCGTGATGTATTCAATATGCCAAACACAGTAACAACAAGTCTAACACTGGAGACGCTACTGGGCCCGCTCGAGCAAATTGATGAGCAATGGGATGGGAGGACAGTGCTAGAGTGATACAGTGAATAAATAGATTTATAAAGACTTAGTACAACATCACAAATATTTATAGCAAAATATAAACAAAAGAAAATGCATGAGTCTATAACCTAACAGATTGTAAAATTTAAGTGGCCCACAAGGTTATACTTTTTTATTTTTATTTTTATTTATTTTTATTAGTAAAACACCATGAGGTACAGTTGTAGACTTACAAATTTTTGAGCTTGCATTTCAGTTGTACAATGATCGAGTACCCATCCCTCCACCAGTGCCCATTCTCCACCACCACTAATCCCAGTATCCCTCCCACCCCCCACATCCCCCCACCCCATTCTGCCTCTGTGTCAGGGCATTCCCTTTTGTTCTCTCTCTCCTTTTGGGTGCTGTGGTTTGCAAAAGAAGCATTTAGTGACAATCATGTTCGGTCTAGAGTCTACTTTCAGCATGCTTCTCCCATCCTGGGAGGATCCTCCCAATACCCTTTATTTGGTGCTCCCTTTTCTATCTGAGCTGCCTTTACCCCTAGAGTGTGCAACTGGCCTCCAAGCCATGGAGTAAACCTCCTGATATTTATCTCGGCTATTCTTGGGGGTTAGTCTCCTATTTTGTTACTTTATGTTCCCCAGATGAATGGAATTTATGTCTGTCCTTTTTCTATCTCATTTCGCCTAGCATGATAATTTACATGTAGTACCACTTGCATGTAAATTTCACAACTTCATCCTTTCTGACAGCTAAATAGTCATCCATTGTGTAGATGTACCAAAGTTTCTTAAACCAGTCATCTGTACTCGGGCACTCAGGTTTTTTCCAGATTCTAGCTATTGTAAAGAGTGCTGCAATAAACAGACAATTGCAGATGTCACTTCGGCTATACTTTTTTGCCTCTCCGGGGTATATTCCCAGGAGTGGTATTGCTGGGCCAAATGGGAGCTCAATTTCTCATTTTTTGAGAATTGTCCATACTGTTTTCCAAAAGGGATGAAGCAGTAGCCATTCCCACCAGCAGTGAAGGAGGGTCTTTTTCTCAGCAAATCCGTGACAACACTGGTTGCTTTTGTTCGTTTGGATGTGGGCAGTCTCTGTGGTGTGAAATGATATCTCATTGTTTTGATCTGCATCTCCCTGATGATTTATGATGTAGAGCATTTTTTCATGTGCCTTTTAGCCATTCGGATTTCTTCTTTGAGGAAGTTTCTGTTCATTTCATCGCCCCATTTTCTGATGGAGCTGGATGTTTTCTTCTTGTGGAGTTCAACCAGTACTTTTAAATCCTTGATATCAACCCCTTGTCGGTTGTGTTGGCAAATATCCTTTCCCTTTCTGTAGATTGTCTTTGTATTTTGGTCACTGTTTCTTTTGAGGTGCAGAAGCTTCTTAGTTTAAGATAGTCCCATTTGTCTATCTTTGTTTTCACTTGCTTAGCCAGTGGCGTGACATCTTTGAAGATACCATTAGCTTCAAATTCATGGAGAGTTTTGCCGACTTTGTCTTCAATGTACCTTATGGATTCCAGTCTGATGTTGAGGTCTTTAATCCATTTTTATCTTAATTTTGTACATGGCGTTAGGCAGAGATCTGAGCCCACTTTTTTTGCATGTAGCTGTCCAATTTTGCCAGCACAATTTGTTAAAGAGGTTTTCCTTACTCCACTTCACATTTCTTGTTCCTTTATCAAAGATTAGGTGATCATATGCTTGGGAGGAGATGTCAGTATATTCAACTCTGTTCCATTGGTCTGCAGCTCTGCCTTTGTTCCAGTACCATGCTGTTTTAATTATTACTGCTTTCTCGTAGAGTTTGAAGTTAGGTTGGTTGATTCCTCCCATTTTCTTTTCCCCAAGAATTGCTTTAGCTATTCGTGGGGGCTTATTGTTCCATATAAATTTCAGGAGTGTTTGCTCCATTTCTTTGAAGAATGCCATGGGTATCGTAATAGGGATCGCATTGAATTTGTACAGTGCTTTGGGAAGTATTGCCATTTTGACAAAGTTAATTCTCCCTATCCATGAACTGGGGATATTTTTCATTTCCTCGTGTCCTCTTTTACTTCCTGAAGCAGCGTTTTATACTTTTCTTTGTACAGGAGGTCCTTTACTTTTTTAGTTAAGCTAATTCCTAGGTAGTTGCTTTTCTGGGGCACAATTGTGAACGGGATTGTTTTTTTCATGTCGCTTTCTTCTCTCTCACTGTTTGCATATAGGAAAGCCATGGACTTTGGGGTATTGATTTTATAGCCTGCAACTTTACTATACAAATCTATCATTTCTAGGAGTTTCTTGGTAGAGGTTTTAGGGTTCTCTAAGTATAGTATCATATCATCTGTGAATAGTTAGAGCTTGGTTTCTTTCTTTTCTACTTGGATGCCCTTGATATCTTTTTCTTACCTAATCGCTATTGCAAGTACTTCCAGTACTATATTGAACAGCCATGGAGAGAGTGGGCATCCTTGTCTCGTCCTTGATCTTAAAGGAAAGGCTCTCAGTTTTCCATTGAGGATGATGCTTCCTGTAGGCTTGTGATAGATGGCTTTAACTATATTGAGGAAAGTCCCCTCTATCCCCATTTTGGTGAGGGTTTTCATCATAAACGAGTGCTGGATCTTGTCAAATGCTTTCTCTGCATCTATTGATATGATCATATGATTTTTATCTTTTCTTTTGTTGATATGGTGGATTATGTTGATTGATTTTCGAGTGTAAAACCAGCCTTGCATGCCCGGAATGAATCCTACTTGGTCATGGTGTATGATCTTTTTGATGAGTAGTTGAATTCTATTTGCTAGTATTTTGTTGATAATCTTCACATCCGTATTCATCAGGGACATTGACCTGTAGTTTTCTTTTGTTGTGGTGTCTATGTTTCCTTTTGGTATTAGAGAGATATGGGCTTCATAGAAACTGTTTGGGAGAATTTTTGTTTTTTCAATTTCCTAGAAAAGATTGAGAAGAACTGGCAATAGGCACCCTTTAAATGTTTGGAAAAATTAGCAGGTGAATCCATCTGGACCTGGACTTTTCTTTTTGGGAAGGCTTTTGATTACAGTTTCAATTTCCCACAAGATTAATCTTTCGGTGTCTGCCTCTCTTGAATCGTCCAGGTCCTTCTCCCAGACTGGTTCATCACTTCCATTTCATTGAACTAATAAAATCATTGTCTTTATTACTGCTTCCATTACCTGTTATACTCATGTCTTATTCATGCTTACTCTTTTTTATATTTTGGGGTCACACTCGGCAATGCACAGGGGTTACTCTTGGCTCATGCATGCAGGAATCACCCCTGGTGGTGCTTGATGGTCCCCCAAACACCACATGGGATGCTGGGAATTGAACCCGGGTTGGCCACATGCAAGGCAAATGCCCTACCCACTGTGCTATTGCTCCAGCCCCTCATGTTTACTCTTAAATCTTTATATCCCTTTCCCAGGAATCACAAAAAACATTGATAGTTAGATCAATTGCAAAGAAACTGATTAAGATCATTTAAGTTCTCTCCAATTTTCTTTTCCAGGATCCTTAACATCTTGCACTAGAAGATATATTTTAGCTCATGAAGTTCTTTTCTATCTTATGAATGACTATTTTTGTATTAAATTCTTGAGAAAAATGTAAAGTATTATGTTTGTGTATGTAATACACACACCATAGGATGCACATATATATATATAAATTTAGTAAAATCCTTTAATCTATTTAAGCCGGACTGAATTAATCACAGTAGTATCTATACATAGCTTAAAGATTGTGTGTCCTTTATTATTTATATATATGAATAGACTTTGGTACACACGTATTTCAACCCTTTGCAAACCCCTGCCTCAATATCACTACTGAGGCACAACCAGCAATAGTAGAGAGCCACTGCATTACTGGGAATCAATTTATATTTGTTTAGACCAGGACCAAAAACAAAAAGAATCTGAACTAAATCATCAACTCTATCCAATACAAATGCTTATCATGGTGCTTTTCCATAGTAACTCAGTATTGCCACTAGCGGAATCTACGTTTTATTCTTCCCATGGGTAATCTCTCTCTGCCATCTCAGCTGTTCTGACCACCGCTCAGATGCAGCAGTCACTCACCTTTACACTATTTATCTGACCCTTCTTTGTAAACGAACAAAAAATAATTTCC